TATAGTTTCTTAAAGAGAAAAGAAGCTATACTTACCTCTTGGACACCGCATATACCTACGAAAGGATTTCCTGTGCCGTGTCGTCGTTATAGAGTAAATTAAGAAGGCTACTACTCTGTAACACTAGTATTAAAAAAGCTTAAATAGCAAAAGCCAGATATATATATGGGAAGTGTCATTTATCATTTGATTTTTTGTAAATAGTAAAACTTCCCCTTCTCTCAAATGATTTCAATTAAATAAAACATAGATGCATGTAATCTATTAGCATGATATTTTGGCACCCACCCCCCTGCTAAAAAAATCAGATGATAAATAACACTTCCTTATCCAATATAGAAGTTGGAACCAGTTTTAAATATTCGAGTTTATCACATCAAAATTCAAGTTTATCATATCACAATTCAAGTTTTTCATATCAATTATTAATAATTAATATGATAAACTTATAATAAACTCAAATTTTAATATAATAAACTTAAATATTTAAAACTGGTCCCAATCTCTAATCTGATATATGTATTATATATAAAAAAGAAATAAAGAATATAGAACATTTAGCTAGTTGCAAAGTATTAATAAACATATTCAAAAAAATAGAGAAGCAAGAAGTTGAGATAACTCTTGCAGAAGTAAAAAAAATAGAGAATATACAAAAAAAGAAAAAGTGGATTTTAGCAGTGTTAGGAAAAAGGAGCCTTGCTAAAAAATGCTAAAGAAGAGAAAGATAGATCAAAAGCTTAATCATGAGAGAAAACTTTAATAAACTAAAACCACTATTTGCCTTTAGCAAACAAACAAAAAACTTTATAGCAAGGCTTTAGAAGAAGTAAATACAAAAAATCTACAAAAGAATTTGGGCCACAAGATACAAATTAGTACAGAATTGGGAAAAAAAAATTGGTATAACTGGAAAGAGAAAGAAAAAAGAATAACAAAGAAAAAATACCTCCAAACAAGCGTATAGAGAAAAACATAAAAAAAAAAAAGGCAAAGAAAGGTGAGAGGCTATCTTAAATATTGTGAAAAAGAAAATATTGAGTTGGATTAAGGATAATAAGCAAAATAGTGAAAAATTAATTAGTAGCTGTAAGAACTATTCAATGAAATACTAATAAACTCAAGTGCAGGGTAAGTTAGTATAAAGGTAAAATCTTACTATAGCAGGTCACACGTAGATATTTATTGAATAACCAGATAAGCCAATACTTGTAGTTTTAGGTAGCAAAAAAATAACTCTTTAATTTTTTTTTTTTTTTTTTAATTCTTCGGCAAGTCTCGCCATGATTTTGGTTCTAACTATTATATAGATGACCCTAGTACACACGCTACTTAGGGTCATGGGACCTCTATAACCCCATATGAATACTATGTATCCACCTGGAATTCTGTTGCCCAACATTCTTCAGTTCCCTTATTGGGCCTAGATCTGACCACCTGCATGACACTCCGGAGAGGTTGAATCACCTTTCTATTGTACTGGAATTTCACCAGCCAATCTGGTGTTGCCACGAGTTCTTGTAGCATCTTTATTAGACTTGGCCTCACATTACGTCTCGTGACTTCAGTTATTCCAAATCGGGGTTCTAACACGCCTTGTTTTACAGCCACAACTTCTCAGAATAACTATTCCCCAAATACGTCTATCTGTAGATATCCCGGGTTCCCTGTACCCCGCGGTGTTTCACTTCCATTTTTGAATTTTCATTAATCTACTGTTGGGAGGAATTGAACCAGCAACCATTTAATTTGCAACCTGGGAGCATAACCGCTATGCTATCGACCCACAGGTCTAATAACTCTTTAATAAAATTTTAATATTTAGTATTATAATATTATAAAGTCTAATAAAGTAAAGCAAAACTGCCAAATAAATAAAAAAAAAACTTTTACAAATTTATATATAAGCTCTTTTTAAAATAGCTATTACAAAAAACCTCTACTCTTTTTAAAACTAATAATAGCTTAGCTTAAATTAGTTTACAAATAAAAAATTTAGAGATATATATTACAGTATACTAACAAGTGTTGTAAGAAATAACTCATCATAGCTTAGTTTTTAATATTTATATAATATTAAAATAAATAAAATTTTAAAAAAATTTTATCATGTTATTCTTGCTTAACGTTAAAAAAATATGGATGTTAGTAATCATTGATTTTTTAATATAGTCACGTGATATTGGCGGAGTTTAGCGAAGTTTGTCCTCCTATTCATATATTTGGTTTCTATTAACTCGACCCCATATTATAAACTTTAATAATTAAAACAAACAGATTTTTACCAACTTTTAAATAAAAGAACATAAGATTAAGTCGTAAAAAAGTTATTTATTAGTGTACAAAATTTCTTTTAATTCAAAAACAAAAAAATTACAAAACAATTTTTAAGAAAAATTTATAATACAATATCAATTGAAGTTGACATTCTTCAATCAGAAATGAAGATATCGCCACCCAATCAGAGGGTGGGTAAATTAGTAAAATCCGATAATGCTATCGCTACGTGTAAACTATAATTCCTTGATTTGATCTATGAGAGTTAATCAAAATTTCTTTTCTGATGTGCTAGTTTATAATATTTTGATGCAATGTATCGTCTCAATTCTTTCACACCACAATGCTATTCTCATAACATTTTTTTTTGGATAAAAAGCAATATTATGACGATATTATCACCCTTACTGTGATTTGCTAATGATTGTAGTGATGCTCAACAATAGATCAGTATTAAAACCTCAGTGCTTGAATAGCTTTTTTACCAATTCTAAGTTAATTTACTAATGTTATATAATATATCGAAAGTTTTGCAAAATACAACAAATAATATGGACCATAAATCCAGCTATTATATATTTTACCAAATCGTAGTTTACTACTTTTATATTTTGATCTGATTCTTTATCGGCATGAGTTATCTCACAATGTTTAACAAGCGATTCATCTTGTGGTTCTTCGATTAATTTATTATATTTGTCTCTCCATTCACATTGATGTTGAGATGAATGATGAATGGCGGCGGGTGCAAGACTTAGTAAGAATTCAGGTAATTGAAGGTTTTTGATAGTAATGTTCTTTTTGATCTTATTAATAATATTTCCTTTGTGAACGTCTGATTCAATGCTGCCATCCTCTTCCTGTTTAGATGTAATTTCTGTACATTTCTCTAAGGAAGCAAGACTATCAGCAACATATTTATCAGTGCAATCTAATAATTCTTTTTCAACAGCAGCATCTCCAATTTGTTTAGAAAGGTATTCGAGAGCTTTGTTGCAATTATCTTTCCATTGTATTTCATGAAGCAGTGCAGCGACTTTAAGGTAACTAAGAGTAAGTGCTGTTTTCCACCATGAATCTGATTCTGAATATTGTAGTTTATTATTTTGAGTGAATTTCTTTAATGTAGGTATTATTTCTATAATGGGAACGTTCATTTCTTTACAAATCGTCTCGCTAACTTCAAAAGATCCATTATCCTTTTGATTAGACACTATATCTTTAAATTCTTCGGGCATGGTTAAGTTGGTAATCATTTCATCAAAGTTTGTCATTGAATTCGAAATCTCATTTAGTGTTTCAATCGTATCATCAGTTTTTATTGAACACGAAGTCTCACTTAGTGTTTCGATCGTATCATCAGTTCTTATTGAATTCGAAGTCTCAATTAGTGTCTCAATCGTATCATCAGATTTTATTGAACACGAAGTCTCACTTAGTGTTTCAATCGTATCATCAGTTTTTATTGAATTCGAAGTATCATCGTCTGATGACGTTATTAAAAATCCCGGTGTGGACGGTGTTGGTGGTGGCGACAGACTAACCACTTTTTTGGATGGTTCAAAAGCACTTTGTCTTCTTTTTTTCAAAAACTCTGCATCGATCGTGAAATTAGGCTTGTCTGGATTTGAAACAGCTCTTGTAGCAGATTTTGTATTGCGTCCATTTGGATTTAAAAAACGGACAGTTGAACGGCCAGAGCCCAAATTATTTTTCTTAAGTTTGGTAAGTTCACCTTCAATATCCGAAAATCTCCATAGAATTTCTTCCATTCTAATCCTTTTTTCTGGGTTATTTTCCCATCCTTTACTCAATCAAATATTTTATATACATTAGTACATAGTTCATGGATAGGAAATCATTTAAATAAAGTAATAATTGATATTAGTACCTTCTGTAATGATTCTTGAGTATTTTCTTTGAACGCCAAGAGAGTCCAATGTAGGAATTTCTTGGGTTTCTCTACGGCCCTTTATAACGTGAGTAATAATTTCTTCCTTACTCATTTTTTCATAGGGAATCTTTTGGAAAGCTAGTTCCCATAAAAGCATTACGAAACTATACAAATAACAGTGCACGAAATATTAATATAACTATTAACATAACTCAAGTTATTAAAATAAGAAATATCCTTATAATAGATACCTGAAAACTTCACATTCTTTAGTATATATGGCATTCATTTGCATCATTTCAGGTGCTGACCAATTAATATTACTCAAAATATGATCCGAGATTTTATCTTCATTATCTAGTCCCATTTTTGAAATATGCTTGGCAAGATGAAAATTTGTGATCTTCGGTTCCATATAATAGGTCATCTACAATAAATGGATAATAGATAGTAAATTATGAACCGAATTTATAACTTATCATAATTTTTAAGCAGGATTTAGAAAAAAAATTTACCATTATGCTCTCACATCGAATGTCACGATGAAAAATGTCATGGTGATTCAAATATAGTAAGCCTAGACAAATGTCATTTGCAATTTTCACTTTTAAATCCCAAGGGATTTTTTTCTTTTCGTAGACATTCTTTAAATTACCCAAGCTTGCCCATTCAAATACCAACATATCATGACCACCAATATTTGAAAGTCCATAAAATTTAAGAATCTTTCGACAATCATTGAACTTCTTAAATTCGTTCAAGATTGACCTGTTTTTTTCAAGAATGGCAATGGGCTCACATGCCACTTCAACAACGCTTTTATACCACTTTTTTACAACATGCTTCGCTTGTATGCAATCATCTAGCTTCTTATCAGGATCATTTTCAGAATTTATTTGCGAAGGAAGGGGATCAAATAATAATGCAGGATCGACTCGTGGAATGTAGATATCTGAACCTGTTTTTTCTGAACCTGATCTTTCGGTTAAGCCTTGAACCATATTTTCAATTTCGACTATCTGTTCTTTCTTATTGTCATCAGGAATAGTTTGTAAAATCTATTATATGTAATAAAAGTGGTATTTTATTTTAGATAATGTCATAGGGATGATTATATGGAAGGTTGACTGTAAAGGAGGAAATCAATACGGTACGTACCTCATGAATTTTCTTAAAAGTTTCCTGTTGACATTCTTGCTTGTTCATTATAACTTTAATTAGAATCGGATGTATTTTCATTTCGCAATCCTCATATTCTTTTAACAATTTATCGTATTTCTCTTTCACTTGCTTATACGGATAAAAGATGCTATTCTCTTTACTCTTTATTTCATCTGCAAATTTTTTTATATTTTCTAACGTAATTTTATATTTATTAAAGGCATCCTTATATTGTCGAAAATATGTTTCAATTTCAGGCTTTACATAACGTAAGGCTCGAATAGTTTCTGATGATGAGCGAATAATTGGTTCAAAGATTTTTTTACTTTTCTTAAAATTTGTAACTATAAGTTTTAATTCTTCAATTGATCTGTAACATGCGTCAATGCAAGTAGTTTGCGACATTATGGTTGGAACTCGAAATTTTATAATAAATAATATTAATATGATTGGAAGGTATATTATTTTATGAACGTTAAAAATTAAAATTTACTAATTCTGAAAAGGATAAGTTGGTTTGTCCGAATCAGAATCTACTCAAAAATTTTTTGCGAACTTTCTGAATTCTAATCCTTTAAATAACCTTTCTGGAAAAATTTTGCTCACAGATTATCACAAGTGATTTGTGATTAGCCACTTCTTAATTGCATTCTATCGCATCATATTGCAGCATATTGCAGTTTTTCCAAATATAGTGATGAACTTTAACATTAACTCTTTGACCTTTTCTTATTAATAAACGTAATTTTTTTATTATACGTATGAGACTAAAAAAAGCAAACATAATTGGCAACTATGGCGAACCCCAAAATAAATTTGTTCAATGACTATTTTATTTTACTAAATTGGCTCACTTCTAAGCCAACTAACCCATGAGTTTTATGACGCCAAGTCAACAATCTCATTCATAAACCAATGAAGTTTATATAGCTAGTATAATATTACAAGAATGAACGAAAAACTGGATCTTTACATAGAATAGAATTTAATAGTAAAACTCAATTACTATTAACATTAATTTATAAGTCAATTGATTTGGCTGATATTACTACTATATTTAGTTTTGGGTTACAAACAAGATTCATGAGTGATCTGTGATTGATCTCAGAATATTTTGAGCTTGTGATAGCGGTAGAGTTTAAAAGATAATATAACTAATTATAGGCATAAATTTTACTCTGTGTAAAAATTAAAATTTACCGTAGGGTAAATGGATTGGTAATCTAGGATCGATTTAATTGAAATTTTTATGAAATAAATTGATATACGTTTGAATTTTGACTAAGAATTTAAACGATAGACATCACTTTTTACTTTATACTATCCCGAGAAGATTCCAAAATGTTAAAAATTTAAATTTGCATTAACCATAAGAATCAAATCCAACTTTATCGTTATCTAACTATCAATTACCTTTTATGAATGACGATCATATTCTAATATAAATAGCAATAAATCAGACTTGCATATGGGCCAAATATGCGGAATAGAATTTTAGTACCCTAGCTAGGGCGCCCGTCTGCTGATATTATTTGGCAGCTTTATGCAGGAATTTTGATACGTATGACAATCGTCAATATTATTTCGGGTAGCCTCAAATTCGAATCAACAATAAAAAAGTGAAAGAAATACATTATTTAACTGCGGATTTCGCCAATTCCGCCAATTTGCCAATTGTGAATTCGGAGATACACCGCAAAAATTTGCAAATTCTGGACAGCCTAAACCCTAGCCAATTAGACAATTAACTAACTATATTATTTTTGATTATGCAAATACTATTTACTCGTATATAACAATGTCAAATACTTATGATTTAGACGACAACAGAACCTTAATGGGGTTAGATGCATATCCATTGAATCCTCCTTGCAGGATAGTGCAGAATAGGCCCCCAATAAATCAAAACAATTATGCAAAGTAACTTGTCAGGCCAGTAAACAAATATGCTTAGATTAAAATTAATTCTATGATTTATTTAGATACCGATACGTGATAATCAGGGGTTGTGAAAGCGCATTCATTCAAGATCGTTAGTACGAATGCAAATATTAATATTTATTCGAAATCATAGGACCCTGAATAATTCTAACAAAGGTCGAAGTTTACATAACTTATGAAAATGGTTAAAATTAACAAAATTTTGGCAAATTCTACAAATCTGATTGATTAAAAATCTAGCCAATCAAAACTCAAGAAAAGTGGATAGAAAGGTCAGAAATTCCAATGTAACCTCTGTTAGTATTATTCAGGGTCCTGAAATCATGTATCTAAGAAAAACCTAAAGGTCTTAATAAATGAGAGAATAATGAGATATCTCGAAGTCCTTTATTAATATCCTCCACGAGCTTTAAACATGTATTTATCACTAGTTAACAATCAGGGCTATGCCGTGCATGTATTGTATGCGTGCTCCCCAACACACAGATAGTGCATAACGAGCTTTTATTGTGATTGGCTGATTTTGCTGATCATCTCGTCATAATGACGATAACGTCTTATTAAAGTAACAATTTGAAAGAATTCGCAGATATTGTAGTATTATTCGGTCTATAGCTGACGAGGCAATTCAGAAATTTGATAAGAGCTACTTTTATCTCAAACTTTCCATTTAGCCGCTTAGTTTATAATTTGTTTAAGCTTACATTTTTTAACTTTTTAAAATAGAAATTTATTTACTTTTCGGTTATAGTTTTTTTTTTACTGATATAGTTTTGCAAAGATACTTGTAAACAATAAAATGTTGGTATGTTTATTCGCTTTTACTAATAAATTTATTTAATTGTTATTACGATTTTTTTATTTTTTTTATTTTTTGCCAATACATTTATTTATTTTGGCCTAATCATCTTAGATTCAGTGTTTGGATAACTGCATATAGCCACGATAAATAAATAGCTGGGTATGTATTTAGTACTAGTCTCTAACCCGGTGCTATGCTCCGGGCTTTAACGTTTTTAATTATTTTTTATATTGTTTAATTAAAATTGATATTTATTAGTTTTTTTTTATATTATTTTAATATTATTAATTGTTTTTATATTATTTTATTATAATTGATATTTATTAGCTATAACAACTTTAATAGTTTTTAATTATTTTATTTATAATAGATATTTATTAGATATAACAACTTTAATAGTTTCTAATTATTTTCATCAGCAACGCACAACTAAACAATCTCTATAGACAACAATCTCTAAAACAATACAGCTTGTATTCTTCGCTACGCTTAGTAATATTGACAGAGCTCGCTTCGCTCACTCTGTAGTCGCTCGCTCTGGCTAAAGACTCTGACTCTGCTTCTGTTTTCTAAAGCATACTAAACCTAACACTAACTCTAACCCTAACCTTAACTATTCGTAATAGACAACTTTATTAGCAATAAAACTCTAACCCTAACCCTAACTCTAACTATTCGAAATAGACAACTTTAATAGTTTTTAATTTATTTTATTTTTTTAAGCAGTCTTGTCTTTATTTATTTGAACCACTATTTAACTATTATATATGTATAATTGACTATATAGTGTAATACTCTAATCTAAAAAAGACTCACCAAGTATTTACCCAGTGCGACCCGCCAA